TGGGAGCTTGCAGCTACAGAATTGGTTTGAAGTTCTGAACCTTATCAGGGATGATGAAGAAGAGCAGCAGGGACAGTCCTCAGGTAAAGTATAGGGGACCCTAGGAGTACCACCATAGGGAACAGTTGCTGCTAAGCCTCAAAGGATACATGTGGGGGGGGGAACGACTCCTTGCTCAGGGGTGGTTTGTGTACCTGAGAAGATGTCTTGGGAGGGGTGTTGTCTCCCTGGAGCAAAAATCTGTGATTTGACAGTGAAGCTGACAAGACTTGTCAAGCCTACAGACCATTACCCCTTCACATTAGTCCATGTGGGAATCAATGAAAGTGGCTTTCAAATGCCTTCAGTCATTTCTGACTTATGTCAACTGTATCATGGGGCTTTCTAGGCAAGATTTGCTCAGAAGGGGTTTGCTTTGCCTTCATCTGAAAGACTGTGACTTGCCCAAGGTCATACTGGAAAGCTAGTGGATTTCCATGGCTGAGCAGGGATTCAATCCCTGGTATCTAGAATCCTAATTCTTTATTCCTTCTCCCAAGGCCCACTGAAGATAATTTTAAATGAAATAGGGTAACTTTACAAATAGACAAGCATGTGTGGATGGCTGGCATCCAGTAAATCCCCTAAACAAAAACAGACTCAGACCATGGTTAAGGGCCAAAAATAAAATGTTTTATTTACAGACTTCATTTCTATATAAACAGTTCTAGGCTGGCTCACTATGTTCACACTGCAACAATTTTATCTATCCTTAATTTCTCTCAACTCTACTAAGCTACTCTCCTGCTAAACTCCTTCCTTCCAGCTGGCCAGGACTCAAATAGCCTAGAGGAGAGGATCAAATTTTAAAATAACCTGAATAGATTAGAAAGCTGGACCAAATCTATTAAAATGAATTTCAACACAGAGAAATGTAAGGTACTGCCCTTAGGCAGAAAAAAATGAAATGTATAGACACAAGATGGGGGACACCTGACTTGACAACAGTACAAGTGAAAGGGATCTAGAAGTCCTAGTAGACACATACTATTGACAACATACCATCACAAGATTTCAAACTAATCACTGGATGCTAAAGTTGGCAACAAAGAAGAGTCAAAAACAGTAGGAAGATTTGGATTAGTAACAAGAAATAAAGCAGGTGAGCATCTGATAGAATTCTGTGAGGCCAATAATCTAATTATTGCAAATACTTGCTTCATACCAACAGATAGATTATACACCTGAACATCACCAGATGGTAAACACAAAAACCAGATAGACTACATAATTGGAAATAGAAGATGGAGAAACTCTATCCTTGTGGCCAAAACCAGACTAGGAGCTGACTGTGGCACAGACCATGAACTGCTCATAACAAAAATCAGCGTTAAGCTGAAGAAGAAAGCAAAAACCATCATTATACCAAAATATGACCTGAGTAACATTTCAGATGAAATCAATGACAATGCAAGAAACAGATGTGAACTACTGAGTATAATCAACTGGGAACTGTGGACAAAAGTCAAAGACATAATTAAGAACGAATGCAAGAAAACACTAACAGTGGCCAAAAAGAAAGATAAGAAACAATGAATGAAAGATAAAACACATCATTCAATAAAAGAAAGAAGAAAAGCAAAAGCAAAGGGAGATATGAACACAACCAAGAGTATCAAGCCTTTCCTGATTAGATTCCCAGCCTCAGAAGTCTGTGTGTCTCTACCATCTTAGTTTTTGGCTCTCCCACTGTTTGTTGTTGGTTGTTGTAGTCTTTTCAATTGTTTTATTGTATTTTTTGATATTTTATGTTAAGGCTTTTAATGGATGTGTAGTTTAATACTATTTTAATGGGGGGAGGGGTGGGGTATGTTTATTTTGGACTTGTGTGGATTTTAATTGTTGTAAGCCGCCCCGATTGTTCAACAGAGGGGTGGGGTAATGTCTGGCATGCAGGGATAAGAAGAAATACTACAGTGACTAACGCAGAGAAAAAGAACACAATAATAAAAAGGAAAAAACAAGAGACTTCTACCACAAAATCCAAGTAATTAAAGCCAAGTTCAAACCAAGGGCAGGGATGCTCTATGGAGAACCAAAGAACATAATACAAGAACAAGAAGAAATAAAAAGATGCTGTAGGCAATACACAGAAGAGTCATACAAAAGAGATGAGGGAATAAATGACATTTGGAATGAGGATCCATATGAAGATGAACCCCAAATTCTAAGAATTGAGGTGGAAACAGCATTAAAGGAAATGGGGAAAAATAAATCACCAGGAACAGATGATATCCCAATTAAACTACTACAATGCATACAGATGCAACTTTAGGGCTAACTGAAATATGCCAACAAATATGGAAAACAAAGAGGTGGCCAACAGACTGGAAGCACTCAATATATATATCAATCCACAAGAAAGGAGATACAAAAGACTTCAGCAGCTATAGAACAATAGCACTAATCTCACATGCAAGCAAAATAATGATCAAAATTCTGCAGCATAGACTTCAAGCATACATGGAGAGAAATTCCAGAGGTGCACCCTGGATCAGAAAAGGAAATGGTACTAGGAACCACACTGCAAACATACGATGGCTAATGGAGTGCACCAAAGAAGTCCAAAAAAGAATCAGCATGTATTTCATAGACTACAGGAAAGCATTTGATTGTATAAATCACAGAAAGCTATGGAACACACTCAAAGACATGGGGGTGCCACTATATCTGACAGTCCTGACAAGGAATCTGTACTTAGGACAAGAGGCTACTGTCAGAACAGGATTCAGGGAAACAGAGTGTTTCCCACTAGGCAAAGGGGTCAGGCAAGGTTGCATCCTATCACCTACTTGTTTAACTCATATGCTGAAAACATCATAAGAAAAGCAGAATTAGAATCAGAAAAAGAAAGAGTTAAAATAAGAGGAACCAATATTAACAACCTAAGATATGTGGAAGACACCATAGTATTAGCAGAAGACATTCAGGAATTGGAACAACTGATAAGGAAGTTCAAAGATGAACATATGCTGAACATAAAGAAAACAGAAATAATGACCACAGAAGAAATACACAAATTCAATCTACACAACGAGGAAATTGAAATAGTTAAAGAATTCCATATCTAGGATGAAACATTGACCAGAATGGAGACTGAAGTCACAAAATAAGAAAGCAAAGCAAAGCAAAGCCTCTTCATTTATATACTGCTTCATACCACGCCACAGTGTCTAAGAGGTTTACAACTGTAAACTCATTGCCCCCCCAATAGTTGGGTACTCATTTTAGCGACCTCAGAAGGATGCAGGCCTGAATCAAGCCTGAGCCCTGGCTAGTACTGAACTCGCAACCTTGTGGTTTATGAGTGAGTGGCTGCAGTACAGGCATTTAACCACTAGGAATGGGAAGGGCAGCTATGAAAGAACTGAGAAAGATACTGAGGAGCAAAGACATACAACTGAGCACTAAAGTCAGAATTATTCAGGCCATTGTATTCCCAATTATCATTTACAGATGTAAGAGTTGGACAGTGAAGGAAGCAGACAAAAAGAAAATCAACCCATTTGAAATGTAGTGCTGGAGAAGAATACGTAGGATACTGTGGGCAGCCAAGAAGACAAACAAATGGGTTCTTGAACAGATCAGACCAGAGTTCTCCTTGGAAGCTAAGATGATCAAGTTGAGACTATTGTACTTTGGTCACATAATGAGAAAGCACAGATCACTAGAAAAAACAATAATGCTAGGAAAGGTAGAGGCTAGAAGAAAGAGAGGAAGACCACAAATCAGATGGATTGTCTGAACCCAAAAGGGTTTTGGTTCTGTCATAATTGGTTGTGTTGGGAAATGTATATATAAAGTTTGTATTGGTTGTGCTGTATATGTATGTGTTAGGTTGTGTTATGTGTAATAAGTGAGTTTGAATTTTGTCGCTGATTTCAAAGAACAAAGAGTTTTCAAAGAGTTTTACTGCAGTTGCCAGGCAGAAATCAGAAGGCTGCCTGGCAGTGGCTGGGCAGAAGTCAAAAGGTTACCTTGCAGTTACTAGGCAGAAAACACAAGGTTGTACCACAGTTACTAGGCAGAAATCAAATGGTTACAAAAAGTCACTGGGCAGAAATCAAAAAGATACTTTGCAATTACCAGGCAGAAGTCAAATTGTTACATTGCAAACAGGCAGGGCTGGGTGATTCTCGTCTATATATAGTAACAAGAGGGCAGAGAAATTTAATACCAACCTAAAAGCTTGCTGGTCACTATTGTCCAAGATCTGCAATAGTCTTTTGTTGTTTCTTCACTGAATTTTGGAAACAGAGCTGACTAGTCCTGATATGGATAGACTCAATCAAGGGGGTTATGGGCAAGGGCTTGCAGGATCTGGCATCAGGACAGTGTCGGGGTAGGGTTGGGACAGCCGGCATGTGACAGCCCCGCACCAACTCTGCCCCCAGGCCAGCCCTTTGGACCAGTCTGCAACGGCCCAAAGATAGGGATTCTTGGAAATGTCTCATCCACAGGGTCACCATGATTTGGAGCCAACCCGAGGGCAGCTAACAAAAACAACACATAGTATGTCAGGCTGTCTTTGAAGAATGTTTGAAAAGTTCAGCTCATCTAAAGAGCTGCAAGTGGCTTATTGAGTGGGGCTAGTCATGGGAGAGGTGTACAACTCACTCACTACAATAGTTCCATTGGCTACTGATCTGTTTCCAGGCATGATTCAAAGTACTGGTTATGAACTATAAAACTCTATACAACTCAAGTCCTGTATTCTCACATATGATCCTGCTTGTGTCTTCAGATCATCGGGGAAGCCCTTCTCTCTGACCCACCAACCTCAAAGATATACCCATTGGGAAAATGGAAGAGGCAAATTTTGGTGGCTGCTTCCAGGCTCTGGAAATGTCTTCTCAGGGAAGATAGATTGGTGCCCACCCACCATGACATCCTTCCAGCAAGCCTTTGGGAACTAACGGCTCATAGAAAAGGGGCTTTTAATTATTGTTGTTGTTTTGAAAGCCAGTATGGCATAGTGGTTAAGCATTGGACTACGACTCTGGAACCAGGGTTTGATTCCCTATTGGGCCATGGAAATCCACTGGGTAACTTTGACTGAATCACACACCCTCAGCTCCAGAAATTCTGAGGGTTGCCATAAGTTGGAAATGTCTTGAAGACACACCACAACAACAACAACAACAACTATACTTTATAAGTAGTACCTGATTCTATTTATCACTGGACATTTGTAGTTTAAACAGTTAACACTGTTAAAGTTAATAAAGCTGTAGCCTATTTAATGCTGGCCTAGTGAGGCTAGGAAGTGCTCAGATGCAGGGCCAGAGCCAGAAGAAAAAATAATAATAGTGAAAGCAGCTGCAGGAGCTTTTATGTTTATCCCCACCCCACACAATGATCTCTTTCTCACCGCCCACCCCTCTTCAGGGCTATTAGAGCACACTTATTTGAGATGGCTATCACTTGTTTTTGAGAGTTCTGAACAAGGTTTGGGGAAGTCTAAGGTGGCAAATGGGGGAAGGGATGCAAAGGAGGCTAGTGCCCTCCAGTGGCAAACAAAGTGGAGAAGGTATTAAATTTCAGGGCACTTTTGTGAGCAGCCACCCTCTAGAAAAGCAGATTAGGTACATTATGCAGATGAGGGAGTGGGGCTATACAGATGGAAACCAGTTTGGTTGCCAGTTAGTCCCACTGTTTTAATAGGCTTCCTATTTAAATGCACTTGTAAAGGTATTTGGGAAGGACATCATCTCCTCTGCCCTAAGAAACAGGAGCAGTTTCATGTACAATTAAATGTGTACCATTCAAGTATGGGTGGTGCAAGGAAGAAGGGGAGACAGCTCTTCTCTAGTCATTTTGTTTCCCCTCCAAAACAAGGAAGCAAGAAGGCTGCAGTGTAAGATAAATGAGAAACTTTTTGTAATAATGCAATGCATTATTAAAAGGAGAAAGGGAGTCAATGGGGGGGGGGGGAGATTTCCTCATACCTGGAACAACTGACATCAAACTGTGGGACAACCACTGTCCTTGTGGTGCCTAGTCTCATCAAGAGATGGGGCTCTGAAGCATGCACAGTCTTTCTCTGACCACAAAGCTTTAGAAGAGAATCTTAGAATCATAGAATAATCTTCATTGATACATATTGGATTTTTATGTTTCCTCCATCCCTCTCTCCCCTTCCTTCCTCCATATTTGGGAATAGCTGTTGCTCTACCATTAGAAAAGAA